CTCTCCAGGCGAAAGGACTGCTTTGCCCCCCACTACAGCAGGTACTGTGCCATGGTCCCTGGGCAGGGAGAACATTCCGATTCCTGGGACCTGTTCTGTGGTCTCTGCCGGAATCAGTCAGCTCAGGAGAGGACAGATCCTGAGGAACCTCTGGCTGGTGGCGGGGAAGCAGGGCACTTTCCTAGGGAACCTGCCTTGGTTCACAGTGCCAGAAGTTTCTCATGTCCCCACGGGCCAAGGGAGGCTGGTTCCTGTGCTGCAGAATCCAAGGTTTTATTAGTTTCCCATGACTGTTGCTCTTCAAAAGTAAGATGCCAGTCCCAGGACTTGTGTGATGCTCTGGTCTCGTGAAGCCCAAGGAGAGGAGTTAATTGTGAGCCTGGTGCTCAGAGGCTGTTTCAGAGGGAAACTCCTTGGTCATGTCCAGCTCTCCCTGGGCCACACCAGCAGGAGTGGAGTTGAATTATCTCAGGAGAAGACCTGGGGCAGCCGAGTCACAGTCAGTCTGGTTAAGTCTGAGGATGGGACTTGACTGTGTGGAGCTCTCTGGAAACGCTGACCTTGGAAGTGTCTCTGTGCCCATGTCCTTCTCCAAACACTCTTGCTTTTTCCTCCTTAGGGACCAGGCCAGGCTTCAATCCGATCCCTGGCATCTTCTCCCTGCCTGGGATCCTCTGCCTCATCCTGGGCGCCCTCCTCTTCCTGGTCCTCATCATCCTGGTGACTCAGCTGCTCAGTTGGAGAGCGGAGCGCAGAGGTGGGTGCAGTGGTTAGAGGGCAACATGGGAAGTGTGTGGAGGCGGCAAGCGGGGTCAGGTGACACAAGGGGAAAAGTGGGCAAGGTCTCTGTTCTTAACCCTATTCGTCTGCAAAACTCCTGCTCCATGTGAAACCCTAAGGGCTGAATACACAGGTTCTTAGGACTGAGGTATGGACACTCATAAGTCATGGCTCTTATGTGAGACAAGGAAGAGTGGAGGCTGAGCTGGATCCAGGGGAGGGCAGAAGGTGCAGACATACATGGTGTGTGAGGTGTGAGATACACAGAGGTGCTGGCAGCCCTGAGGGTCTCCCAACGTGTGTGTGGCGGGGAGATGAAGGAGTAGCCTGTTGGCTCAGGGTGTCTGGGGAGGCATGTCTGACCTGCTGGAGGTTTTCTCAGCCGTATCCAGGGTCAAAGGCGCTGTCCATGAGGCTGTGTACGAGGAGATTGATTACCTTGTAACGCCGAAGGAGGATCTGCTGCGTAGCTCGGGTGTGTCTCTGTTTGCCCTCCCGGGACCCCTGGTTGTCAGCCACCCACTGGCTGTGAGGCATCTTCCCAGAACCCACATTCCCCACCTCTGCCCCAGACACACAGAGGCAGCCCCTCCAACGGCCACAGGACGGGCCTCTCAGAGCCCCTGTGCACTGTGTGCCTCCCCAACCCTGTGGGCGCCATGACGGCCCCAGCATCCCTTCTCAGCCTTAGCACTGGTTCGGTGGGTGTGGGAAGGATTGTTGTGTTCTTTGTGATTTTTCCTCCACATTAGTGTTCCTGTCAGATGACTCAGTATCTCAACTGCCCTATTACACCGGGGATGCTGAGGAGGACAGTGACCATAAATCCACTCCAGGTAGTAGAGGTGGACGTGCCTTGGCTGGGGAGAGGGGGCGGGTGATGTTCCCTCACAGAGATGAGACCCAGTGGGAACAGGCTTCCTCTGACTGGGATTGGCGGGAGCTGTTGTCTCCTGAGGGGTCCACGCTCCCCCACTTCTGGGGCGGTTGTGTGCTGCCTCATGTTGGGGCTGGGCTCTGTGTGTCCAGAATCACCCTCACTCAGTCACAGCCTGCAATTGTTTTGAAAATTAACAGTATGAAAGCATAATTCATCAAAAGATTTTAGTAATGCTCATTGGCATAAGAATTTCTTTGAGATATGTGGTTTAATAAGAAATATTGAGATAATGGTATAATTTTTTGTTTCATGGGCACATCAAAATAAAATATGGCCTTAGAAAACCTGCTGAGACAAGGAGTGACTTGTGCCTCCATGGAACAGTTCAGAAACTCTGGTTCAGAAGAGATTTCAGGTGTTTCCCAGGACAACCCATTTATGGTGGTTTCCCTCGACCCCCTTGTCTGCCCTTAGAGCCCCCAGATCAGAGGACTGAGGTCACTAGTGAGGGTTATGATGATGCTGAAGAGGTACCACTGCCTGAGGCTCCCCCTGCCTCTCAGATGAGCGAGGGGGAGGTGCCCCCAGAGGAGGAGACTGGGATGAGGGCCTCGCAGACAGGTGAGCGGGTCAGCTGATCTCCTGTAGTGTTTGCTCTGTGTCCGGGAAAGGGTGAATCTGAGCTCCTCAATGCCCATCCTTCCTGGAGATTCCAAATTTGCATGAGGTCCTATGTTTGATAACATCACCTCGAACATACACCTCTCTGTAATGCCGACAGACTCCTTGGGAGGGAG